GGATGGGGGGACGGGAGACTCGCCTTCTCCTTTCCTCCTTCCAATTAAAAATTCATAAGTAACTGATTACAATAGCACTTATGAGTATATTTTATAGTTGAATATAAATATAATATAAATTACACAGTCAACACCATGTGTAATTGTTATACATGACTGTATTGGACAGACAACTTTTGTCCAATTCAGCCAATTAGGTTTATTTTGGGTAAACTCAAGCTAACATATTGTAAATGGTTAGAGGAAAAACAAAAGTAAATATAGGCACCTTTTGTACAATTCATAACAGTTTAATTACTAACATACAACTGTGAAATTCCATATTCTAAGTGATACTTTTGGATTGCATCAATTAGCTAACAGATTTGTAAGAGGTTGTTCTCGCTTTATGCTCTTACTGCAAAAAAAAATATTCTCTCTTTGAATGAGCTCAGTTGAATCATCGACACATAACTTGAGTAATTGAGTAATTTTCAAAAGAAAATGAAACATTTTTCAGTTGATGCATTCACGTTCAATTCTGAGAACATAACATAGTTCACAAAATCTTCTCATGTGTAATTAAACCAAATGAATCACTTCCATTCAACACAAATTAGGCATGTAATCTAACAGGAGCTCTAGTTTATTTCACCCACACAGCAAATGTACCAGTGTTAAATTAACACTGCATGGTGTTTATATTGGTCCACACCTATCAGGCTTAAATTTACTGTACATAGTGTAGTGAGTGTTTTTTACAGTGGTAAACTATTAATTCTTATAGTGTTGAATTGACACCACAGAGTGTTAAGTCACAGGCATTCCACTCCTCCACAGATTGCAAACTCATATGGATGGCTAGTGTTGGGGAAATTACTCACAAAATAATCCATTACAGACAGAGGTGGAAACTTCAGGTCCAGAAAGAACAAATGTAGGCTTTGGCCTGCCTAGGGGTATCCTGTGTGGGGCTGCCTGGTGTTCTATTGGGGGCCACTAAGGTTCACCCTGGGGGAGGTTTCATGGAATAGAAAAACTGGGTTCATTACCTGGGCAGCATGATGGCACAGAGGTTAGCACTGCTGCCTCATAGGCAGAAGGTCCTGGGTTCGAGCCTGGGTCCTTTCCGTGTGGAGTTAACTCTCCCTGTGTTCCCGTGGGTCTTTGCCGGGGGCCCTGGTTTCCTCCTGCAGTCCAAAGGTGTGCTGATTGGTGTGTCTAATTTGGCCCTGTGGTGTGTTGGTTCCTGCCTGTTCCTGGGATAGGCTCTGGACCCCCTGTGACCCCAGTGGGGATTAACCTTCCCTAACAATAGATATTTTGTTTCATCTCCAAGCTTTAACCTGCCACAAAAAATGCAGCAAGACCTGCTCATACTAACCCTGATGGAGCAAACCCACTGAGGAGAGTTCTTCAGGATTCCAATTGAGTTACACACCTATAAGTACCACTGTAGTACAAAAGGCAAGCAGCCAACTGGCAAACACCAATTAACTCAGACAACCTAAAGACTCTTAAGAACAATGAAATGTGGCATGCCATCCTTGATTGTGGTGAGTTTCTAAATATCAAAAAATAAAAAAAATCTTTCACCAGAATGCTTATTTTTTTTTGTAAAAAAACAAGTACTGATTATATTATTGCTTTTGAATGTACACAAAATAATTTGTCTAACTGGCTGAATAAGAAGTTTATCATTTGCCCAATTTAGTTGTCTGTCCTACATAGCTGTTTAATGTATGACCATTACATTGTGTTAATTTAACTCTGTAGTTAATATTACACCTATTTACTGTATTAGTTAATATTATTTAGCCAATTTATTTAGCCAAATTCAATTTTGTCAGACCAAAAGTACAGCATTTCCTTCTAATTTAGATGTGATAACTACAATTAGGCATTAAAATGTTTGGCAAACTCAAAAGTGTTATTGTAATCAGTTACTTAAGAATTGTTCATTGGAAAGATGAAATATTTTTTACAGTGTGTCCTGGTTATGATGTTGAACTGCATCCGGCCTTGCATACAGTCTTCCAACTTGGAGGGAAAGGTTTTGGGGGTTGGTGGCAGGATTGGCACTCCAGCCACCGTAAAAGAACTCACAACAGCTTGGTCTAAAAAGACACGATACACTTCTGCTGTCCGCAGTAGTCAAAACTGTCGGAGAGCTAATACAGTTAGGCCTGTCGGAGAACTAATACGGGCAGGCCTGTCGGAGAGCTAATACAGTTAGGCCTGTCGGAGAACTAATA